GTAAAATGTTTTCAGATCGTTCAACATTTCTTATTATTGACTTTTTTTTTATAGAGGAGTGAGCATCCCCTGCAGTCAGTTCACACCTGCCGTGTGCTCCTCGTCATTACCGGGAAATAACAGAAAATTCGTTGTCTATTCAGTGTATAAATTGACTTACAATAAGTATGAAAAAAATCAGTCAGCTTTTGACTTATTGATTACTTTTATTGCATCTAAATCTATTATCTATCTTACAAAGGAAAGCAGAGAAGAGATCACTATAATTATACATATAATATAATTAATTTGCATAAAAAAAGAAAATCTGAATTTAAAGATGTAATTTTATCAAATAATGCGTTATTATTGGAAACCAGCAAGTGTATTTAAAGAAAGTAAAAATGATTTTAAATTACTGTTCACGATTGTGAGATAGGTTCTTCAAACAAATTTTTCATAGTAAAATCAACATTTTTTTTTGCAATGAGTTGAGCTCCACTCCGGATGAAAATAGAAATTTAAAAAATTCGAACAATTTATTGGACACCATATTCATATAAATATATAAATACAAGGGGTGATCAAAAATTCGCGAACTATCTCAATATATACAAAACCACAATTCAGATTAGAAAAAAAAATTGGTACACACATAGCCAAACACAAGTTCTATAAATAGCATATGCTGAATAATGTTTTGTTTCTTGTTTGTGAAGTCACAATGTGAAAATGACGTCACTATATAGATCACTTGTGACGAAAATTCTTGTCTCAGTTGTACTCGTTCAATAAACGACTGTAAAATTGATAATGTATCTTAGAAATTCTTTTGACCTCAGAAGTGGCGTTTAATAATTTTTACACAGTTTATCAAGACAAATGACTTTCTATAAATTCAATCAATTGGATTGATCGTTTTAATGAAATAATGTCGATGGTTAAAATTAATACTTGGTAAGTTGCCCAGTGAACTCACGTCTGAAGAGATGTGTTTTTATGAAGCAATTTGCTACCAAACACCTCCAATTTACAAATTGAGAAATAGTTGAATATTTCAACAATAATATAATTATTAAATACATATGATATCGATTACTTCAGATTTAAAACATATAAGATATATGATAAAAGGGAGGCACCAATTCTCTATAAACCTGGAATAAACGTCTTTCCCGAAACAGAAAATTTAGGTTTAATGGTCGCCATGCTTATTTTTGGAAAGGATATTCTTATACACCCAATCTGTTGCCGAGATTTGACCATTTCTGACAAACAAACTGTTCTAGTTATGAAAAATAACTTACATGGAAAAAAAGATAAAACTCTGAAAAATCTTAAAGCTTTTGTTACAGAACGCTACGGAGGGGGTCACGTTACCGCCTATATCATGTGATTCTCGTACGAGCAGAATGGTGGCAGAAGGGCATCAGAATTGGAGAGGACTAGTTTAAAATATAATCAATATTGAAACCGAAGATTGTATCTTTTATGAAAGGTATTCAATTAGTTTTCGAAATTTCTGATCACCCTCATATACCTAACAATAATGTTGACCAATGCCAGTTATTCTGAAAACCAATTTTTGAGAAGTCTTGATCAAGTCCTCAGAGTGTAAATCAAAAACTACGATAACCTTTTTATCAAATTCTCGATACTATCAAATATAATCTTAAAATTCCAGAAAGAGTTTCATTGAAAACTGTTGATGTAATCAATGTAAAATGAAACAACCAAAATGTTACCTTATTGAGAAATAATCTTTAATTGAAACCTTTATGCATCGAATTTCTGAATCATCGAACAATTTAAATTCACTATACGATCATGGTAGCTTAATAGTAGAGCACTTGAATCATGAATTCGAATCTCAACAATGACTGACCTTGGTCGGTAAAAAATGCGTACGCAAGTGAGTTAAGGCTACATTTGGAAGTTTCTATGCAAAATATCTAATTAAATTTCATAATTGCTCTACTTACCAAACAGAAAATGTTAGGACTTGTTTTCAAATACATTCTTGGTACCCACGACATGCAATAGCCAGCACACATTATGACGTCATTTTATGACGCCATCGACCTCTACTACACACGTTTTAAAGAAACATTAACAAAATCTCCTCGGCGCAAGGCCATACCTTACAGAGTATAAAAAGACGAAGAATATTCTAGGGATTTAAGATATTGCTGCACAAATGTCGGCACTGCAATTGTTTAGTTACTATTTTTGCAGTTTTAAGTTTAAACATGGTAAAAATTTACAATACAGTGTAAATTTCCTTAAATTTTTATCGATTGAGAAAGTGCATAGGATCTGTGCAGCAATTTTATTAATTTTAAGAACATTCTCTTTAATATAATGCATTGTTTATTTGATGTATTATCAATTAATAATGGTAATTTTCATTCCTACGTCGATACGATATATATTGGTAAGCTTGAGATAAAAGATACCACAGAGTCAGACACTTCTCTTTCATACTTGGATATTCTTCTTGAAAAAGACACTAATGGTAATCTAACAACCAAGCTATATGATAAACGTGATGACTTTAACTTTTCTATCTTCAACTTCCCTTACTTATGCAGCAATATACCTTCATCACTTGCATACGGAGTAAATATATCTCAGTTGATTTGATACGCAAGAGCATGTTCTACGTTTGAACATTTTTTTAAAACGAGGTAAATTATTGACAAGCAAGTTGACGAAACAAGAATATCTGCAGTCTCTTTTAAAGTAATCATTTTGTAAGCTCTATGGTCGATACAATGACCTTGTCAGCAAATACAGTTTATCATTGAGTCAAATGCTGACAGACGTTTTTCATACCAATTGTAAGTCTATTATTTATACACTGAATTGACGACGGGTTTTTTCCGTTATTTTCTGATAATGACAAGGAGCACACGGCGGGTGTGACCGGTCGGCAGGGGATGCTCACTCCTCCGTCACTCCTGCGTCGTTCGTCGTGAGTCCTGTGTTGTGCGTTAAAATTTGAACGTTTTATGCTTCTTCTCTGCAAAAACTAAACCAATTTCAACCAATTTTCTAAAGAAGCACTCATGAGTCAAGAGAAACAAAAACTGCGAATTTCATATCCCGGATCCCCTGGGGCATGGGAGTGGGACCAAAACCACTAGATTAATGTAATCTTTAAAGATTTTCTTTACTCATCGACATCAAACAGTGAAATTGTTTGCATGCCTGTATTACGTATTAAACAATGTACAAAAAATTGTAAAATTCATGACCGCTTGGTCAAGGGCTCTAATGATAGCGCGGGGATATTAAGATCATCTAGTCAAAATGCATTATTTCTTTGAAAATCTTCTCTACTTTTGGACATCAACACAGAAACATGAATTGAAGAAGCCGCATTTCATTGCATAAGGTTCTAAACAATTGCCTATTTCATGAAAAAATCAATTTCAGTAACTGTTAGCGATTTAACGAACAATTTTTACGAGGTTAATTATTGACAAACAAGTGGAGGAAACAAGAATATCAGCAGCCTTATTTAAAGTCATAAACTTGTATGTTCGATACAATGGCCTTGTCAGCAAATACAATTTATGATTGAGTCAAATGCTGACTGGCGTTTTTCATACCAATTGTGGGTCGGCAGGGGCTGCTTACTCCTCCATGGAACCTGATCCTACCACTGGTGTATTGGAGGTCCTTGTTGGCTCTGCTCCTATTTTGTATTATCAGATTATCATCTGGGTAAAACACAAATACCCACGTACATCTTAGTTATCATGAGCAAGGATGTCTCTTCCATAATCCTGAATTCCATGGCCCCTGGGTTAGAGATTCTTGTGTTAGGATGGGACTCTATTTATTCAAAATTAAAAATACATTAATTCTTTGAAAACCTTCTTGTCTGCTCCTGGGTATTAAACAAACAAACCAAGTACATAGGTATGTTGAATAAGGCAGCCTCTTCCAAAATTGTAAATACAATGGCCTCAGGGTCATGGGTTCTGGTTCTCGGGCGGGGTTTAAAAAATATGTAGTGAAATGCTTTCTATCTTTGAAAATTTTCCCTGTTTCTAGGCTGGGGTTCTGATGTAAGGGCCGTACTCTTTTAATAATATAGTGAAAATATATTAATTCTTTGAAAACATTTTCTCTGCTTCTGGGTATTAAATAAAATATTCAAGTACATAATTTGTTTGATAAGACTGTCTCTTCCAAACTTGTCAATTTTGAAAACCAAAGTAAGGTGTGCTGGTGTTCTGGAGGGGCTGTATTGATTATACATGTATATTGAAAATGCAAACTTTCTTTGAAAAATCTTCTCCTTTGCTTCTGGATACTTAACCAATAAACAATGTGCATGGATATAATCAGAAAGGATGACTCATCCATAATTATGAAATTCAGGACCTCTGGATCAGGGGTTCTGATGTTAGGGAGGGACTCTAAAGATTACATAGTAAAAAAGCATTTCAATGGCGTCTGGGTATCATGCCAATTATCTACGTTCATGTCTATGATGAAGAAGAGTGACGCTTTTAAAAGGGTTTATTTCATAACCCATGGATCAGGGGTTTAGGGGTAACATAGTCTGGAAAAAGTCTGAAAATAAAAAATACTTTGAAATCTGCTCTTTGGCATTACCAACCATTCGTGATGAAGTAAGATTTATAACAAAATCTCCGCCAAGCGTATAGTTATTATAAGCAATGGTGTCTCTTTCAAAATTGGGAATTTCATGGCCTCCTATTCAAACACAAACCAAATTCAATTCTTCGAAAGTTGTTATATGGTATTCAGGTCATCTATAAGGCTGATAAGGCTCTTGGGCCTCTTGTTTTATATTTTTATAGATCCTTAACAGTGTTTTATACTCAGGTGAACATTAAGGCCCTTTAACTTTTTACTTGTCTGGTTAAAAGATACATGTAGGGTGTTCATGAAATTTGATATTTTTATTGATCGTGTCATTTGTTGCTATTGAAGCATTTTTAGTATATACGAAAATATTATTTTGTACTTTGACAGGAAAAAAACAATGTGATCCCAATCCATGTCTTTTTAACGGAACATGTCTTGAAGTTCCATTGCCTCCTTATTTCTTTTGCATATGTGTTGACGATAGAAAAGGCGAACTTTGCGATATTGGTAAGATTATGATTTTTCCTTAATTAATCTGAGATGAAACAATATTTGACGACATTTACTAACACATCACTTTCATAGTCCTGCAATATTGTTTTTTACCATACATCTATCTAGTTTGATACATAAATTGATACTGTGAAATCACAAATTTTCTTGGTCGTTTTATTTTCGTTGTTTTCGAGGTATGACGAGACCCACATATTAATGTATACCACGGAATATAAAATGTTACATGCATAAGTAATTATTAATTCTTCGTCCACGAAATCAAATCCTCATGAACCAAGAGATTTTCCTCAAACCACGAAAATTTGATCTCATGAAAATATGTAAATTTACAGTATCTCAAATTCCAATTTAGTACATCAATTTGTCATTCATACATATTTTTTTATTTACATCATCTGTGTCTGGGGTATGGTGTAATATAATATGGGCAGTTTATCTATGTGTACATGAAATGGTTTATTTTACTTCCATTGAATTAAGATATCTTCTTTTATTGGGTTCAATATTGCAGGTGACTTACAATTATTATATTTCTATACAGGCAATTTCGTCACATATGATCCTCATTTGAAATACTATGCCTATGTGGCGAAATTGCCTATGGTATATCGGGCACAAACTGAAATGATTATTTAGAACATGCATTTACTATTGATTTTTAGAATTACAAATTACTGTAAACCAACTTTTTTTTCGCGACGACTTTATTTTGCGATTTACCAGGGTTACCTTTACTAGATCGCGACGATTAATTTTCTCCATCAAAGCCTTTTTAGATCACCTGAGCCAAAGGCTCAAGTGAGCTATTCTGCTTAAAATTTGTCCGTTGTCTGTCGTTGTCCTCGTTGTCGTCGTCGTCGTTGTTGTAAACTTTTTCACAGGTCCAAGTCCAAGTTATAAGCTCAAGTATTTTTTCATATTTTTGAATGAAAGGTATTTCAAACTATGAAAATAACATTTTGGGCTTAGTAAACGTAAAATTTCTTATTTTTGAAGTGAATAGAAAATAAAAGTATTTTGTCTCAGTGTCTATGTGTATTATGATATTGTATATACGTTTTTGTATTTTTAGATCGCCATTGCTTTTTCATTTCCAAATAAATTTATAAACTGAACCTGCGTTTTCCTTCTCCCCTTGGTTATACAGTACCCGCATCGTTATTCTTTACAGATCTATCGTATCCTATCGTATTGTGTTTTCCGTTTATCGTGTTTAGCGTTTTCTGTCGTGTTCTTTGTTTATCGTGTAGATCGTTATCAGGTTCTATCGTGTATCGTGATTGCGTTTATCGTGTACATTCGGAAACCCTCATTTTTTTTTATCTTTACTACAGGAAGAAACTACCGAGGTTTTCCGATTTTCTTTTTCGTTTTGTTAACTAAAATAAGATTACTTTAACCGAAAAAGAGAATAGAAAGTTTTATCCCTTCGTTTTTCATCATTAAAAGAAAAGCTTGAAAGGAAAAGAATAAATATATCAATAATATAATAAATTCATTAAATTATTAATTATAGAATAAATAAAGAAAATATTAATTTTATTATCAAGCACAGAATCAAGATTAAAAATCTATTTTTAAAAATGAAATAATCGATCCCATGATCTTTTTCTTTACGCTCAGCGAATTCTATGGGGGGGGGGTGGTCAAAATTAACTATTAATAAGATTTTTTAAATTAGTCAGAGTCACTAGAGGAAGATTTTTGGTAAGCCATGGTGTATGAAGTTTTTCATTAATTTTATCTGGCATCAGATAATCTAATAACTATACAGGCAAAGAATCATAATGACTTTTAACAGCTTACCATTTCGACGTGGAAATAAACTGAAAATATAATGCCTCTGAGTGAAAATCGAAAAGCTTCCTTGCCAGAAAACTGACACGTATGTGTGCCTCTCTAATCAGCACACTGTCCCCCTGTGCGACCGTCAACACCCCTCTTCTCCCCTATTCCCCTAAATGACACCTCAGCCCGTGTGTGTTCAGCGTCAACACCTGTACTGCTTTCTCACCTTGTGCCAAATAGTATTTATTTTTAGGTTTCTGTTCATACCTTGTGTGAACTACACTCATAAAAAATTTTTTTCTAAATCAATATTATAATAAATTAATGTACATTTCTGATTTCCGGATTTAAAAAAAATCATTTTCTTGCTTGATTTTAAATTTTATAAAAAAAATCGTACAAATCAATTTAATGAAAAAATGTTCCTATATAAACCCAATCCGCTGATTTATTGCAGCCCGGAGGACCGGGCTGCTCTATACATATAAGTTTTAATGTTGGTGTATAGGGATTGTGGTGGGAGTAGTTATTTAGAATTAAAGGTTTTCTAAACATTGAAAAGATTGTTATTCAGAAACTTCTTTCCATTTATAAATTACGAGATACATAATATAGTTACTTTCATAAAGTGAAACTGTAAAAATATATACTTTTTCATATATAATATATATAGTTACTTATCATTTACTATCGAGAAAACGACAGGTCCCTTTTTTTAGAACATCGAATTTTACTTCTCGGATAAAAACGTTCTCTGCACAGTTCGTGTTTTATATTATAATATTGAAAAATGATACATTTTTAAATATAGGTGATGCGTGTGTCTAACTTTAATTTATATTTTTTGCAGGCAACATTTACTTGAGGAATTGATCAAGTTTAAAATGGTATCGTTTTTGATTAATTTTTATCCGACTACATGTTTTCAAAATATTCGCGACTATCTTCTCCTTCAATTAGACGCATGCCTTTTCACACATATCGAAGCGGTTTGAAGATTAAGACTCATTTTCATCGTTTACTTTATGTATTTCCCGGGCGACAATTGATGGTTACATCAATGTTTTCTTGTTTTATTTGTACGATGTTTCCATAATGTTTATGTAAACAAGTCAATAAACTTAAAAAAAAATACTGCACTTATGGGACATAGACTTTCGAATCATCGGGTTTTCTTAGAAAAGGGTTAAATAATTCTAAAATTCTAAACTATGAAAATTTGCTCGCATTTATTTTTTACTGTATTTAACTATAATAATAATAAAAAAGAAGTCCTCTGATTCTGCCGTGACCACGCAAAACGAGTAAATGTATTGCAAAGAATCAATTTATATTCATACCGTCCGTAACTTTATTTAAGAAGTCGATTTTATTTCTGGCTATTTTGTTAGATCGTGTTTATCTAATTTTAAATTGTTATAGACTTTCAAAATGCCGCCCTTCAAACACGCCTCATTTGAGATTATGTCTATAATAATTTCAAGGGTTTTAATTCATTTGCTGACTTAACCCTCTTTAAAATCATTTTTTAGTAACAGTACACGCTAAGTCTAATAGCAATGATTTATCATTATTAAGTCGGAAAAGTTGCATTTTACTCTTTCAATATTAATTTATTTAGTTTTGTGTTTTGTATTGTAAAAAAAGTATTTTATCATTCAATTTTCGTTAATTAATACTGTAACGTGCAACGCGGCCGAGCTTGGGTGTGTGGTGTTATGTCTTGTATCACCGAGGCGTTACACTAGGTTCGTTAACCTGTTAACTCAGATTTTTGTTGACCAATACGATTATAATCAAATATATACAAATACAATGGGTTTCTTCTTGATTGGACAACCACTAACTGTGGTGAACGGGTGTCTCCCGCAAGGAATTTTCTTCTTGCCCTGCCTCTCCACTATTACTGCTGCATCTTGGCACTTCCCCCACCTCTAATTGTGGTATGCCACCTCTCTCTACAACCAAGTGACTGCCCCATTCAGGTCTTACGTGCTTTGGTGTACTGTGAAACACTTAGCTGTTCATCCCCTGCATCCTTCCGCCTTATAGGTCTTACGACCGTATGCAAGAGAAGAAACAAACTAATGTTTATCCATTCCGTCACCTGAGAGATCCCCTGTTTTCCCGTAACACAACATTTATTACCTCAGTGCAGCCCCAGTACATAGGCAGTTTCATACTACTTGTATGATCTGAGAATTAATATTTTTTAGTGTTTAAGAATTTATATAAAAACGTAGGTCTAACGTTTATACAAAACTAAATCACAAAACCAATTTCCGTTTCAATACATATATGAGAGCTTAGCGTTTACGTACATGTACAGTTGTAGCAGATTCATATTCTGTTGACACCGTTTACAAGTGTTAATGCATAGTGCTATTATATTAACATTTATTTAGTTTTCAACTCAGGAAATTAATTTTCTTAAACTGTATATATAGTTCATGAGAGATATATCGTGTTAAATTTTTCGATTTTGTTATAGCCGATTTATTTTACCTTTTCTTATAGCCGGCTTTCTACATGTATTGTTTCATAAGATTTTATTATTTAATTTCGATTTTGTATACACCGCAGATTGTAAGCTTTAGACATTAAATACAAATATTTAATTTATTGAGTAAAGTTCTTCCGTAAACTAATTTAGTACTTGTAGATAAATTTATTACCTACAAATAATTTTTTTTTATTAATAATGAAATGAACTCATTTATAGTATTTCATAAATAGTGTACCCGTGATAAACAACAGAAATCGATGGGATTTTCAAGACAGCTTTACATGTACATGTATGTTCAAATATCCGTAATTAAACGATTCTTGGTTCAACCTTAAGACGAGAATTTCGATATTTACAATAATAATTAGAAACTAGAAACTCTTGTTGCTACAGCAACAAATAAGGTCTTCCGTTCTTCTCTATTTATCTGTAAGAAGGAAATTTTTCTATTTAAAGAAAAAAAAAACAAACTGCCAAAAAAAAAAAAAAAAAATTCCTCCATCTGGACTCGATCCCAAAACCATTAGTATGAAAGTCGGACACGCTAACCACCGAGCCACCAAATTCCACAACATTTAAGGTATTTTGTAAGCTTATTATCTTAAGGTTGAAGGAAATAGTTTCGAAGTGAAAGAAATAGTTTCGTAGTAAAGTCCCGTTCAAATTCCTTAAAAAACGGAGATATTCCCTGTTTGAT